TTATAAAAAACCGTTGTCGTTGTAGTGTTGTGTATTCAAGTGCTATTAAAGACAACACATAAATGACAACGGTTAAATAAAACCGTTGTCTTTAAATAAAACCGTTGTCTTTTAAAAAATAATAATGCGCAAAGACAACGGTTTTAAAAAACCGTTGTCTTTGTAGTGTTGTGTATTCTAGTGCGCTTAAAGAAAACACACCAACGACAACGGTTAAATAAAACCGTTGTCTTTTTTTTTTTTTTAAAGATCGCACAAAGACAACCGGTTTTAAACAACCGTTGTCTTTCTAGTGTTGTGTATTCCAGTGCGCTTAACAGACAACACACCAACCGACAACGGTTAAAAAAAACCGTTGTCTTTCTAAAAAAAAAAATACGCACATAGACAAACGGTTTTATAAAACCGGTTGTCGTTGTGGTGTTGTCTGTTCATAAAATGCACCAAAGACAACACACTTATAACAACGGTTAATTAAAAACCGTTGTCTTTGACAAAAGTGTTGCATCAAAGACAACGGTTTTGGACCAAACTGTTGTCTTTTATACAAAAGGCAACACTTTTCTTAAAAAACTGTTGTCTTTCTAGTGTTGTCTATGTGCATTTTTCTTGTAGTGTCAGTCCAACCAGACCACTTAATAAGCTTAGTCAACTTCCCCACTTAATTAAGGCCCTAATATATAATATATAATATATATTATTAGAGAAAATCTTACATACCAGACATCCTCGGCTCGTCCGCCGTCGCCACGCGCCAGAGGGAGGGCCCAGCCGGGAGATCGCCGGGTGTCAACCATCGTCGCGTTGGTCCATCGAAGTAACCAGGAACGAGGTCCATCCATTGCATGCAACGGAGGAAGAAGAAAAGTCATGCCGGAGATTCCAGACTTCGTCGCCACCACCGTCCATCATCACCATATCTCAGTGCTTCCTTGTGTGTGTTTCTCCCTGGTTTGCCATGGAGAAAACCCAGGTTGGAAGGGGGGTGTAGTGGGTATAGCAAAGGAGCCAAAGAGTAAGAGAAAGCAACTCGTCAATCACCATCACCATGCACCGCTGCACGCCGGAGATGAAGCTGCGTCGCCATGTGCCTTGCTGGTGTCCGATCGACCGCATGCAACCCAGGTGATGAAGATGATCTATTTCTCTTCACTGATTTCCTTGTCTAGATCTATCTCTCTTCACTGATTTCTTGTTCATCCTGTGAATGTTTCTGCCGAGTATAATCCAACGAAGAAGATGAAATCTCGACCTTCAGCACAAACGCCACTGCCGATTGTACATCACCACTCGCTGTTCTCGCGCGGGGGTCCGATTTATTCATTCTGGATGAGCCTAGTACGTGGACAGCGTTGATGATGGCGGTGGAGTGCGACATCTCAGATAGTAGAGCAAGGAATTAGATGCCAGTGGAGTATGCATGCAATCTTGTTGGTTTGCATGTGGCGGTGGAATCGCAACAAGTTAGAGGAGTGGGTTGATTTATTTTTTATTTTATTTTAAAATTGCAAAGCAATTTTAAGTTGTAAATTATAGTAATTCTGCACCATAGAATGTATAGGCTAAAGGTGTAGATTATATTATTCACTTAGCTATAGCGTAATGGCTTAGAAAATTGTAATAATTAGAATAGTCAAAATTATTTGTACCAAGTCCGGTTAGGTTGGTATTTCCAGCACCGGCACCCAAAGTCCGGTTAGGTCGGCCTTGCCACCATCGACATTGTTAAGCCCGGGAAAAGTCCAGGCATCAAGCCCTACTACGTAGGCAATTTTGTGTCTCCGGACCAATCAGACGAGGCTCCAGCAACGACTACAATGTCGTTAAGTTCTTTTCCGGTCACCGATCGATGAGGGCAATAGCCCGACGACCGCAATGTCGTAAACTTTTTTCCGGTTAAAGCCGACGCTTTTTTTCCGGTTAAAGCCGGCGAGGGCAATAGCCCGACAGCGAGACCACGCCCTGAGTTCGCCCAGCCGCTAATTCCACTGCCACACGACGTTATACTTAAGTGCGTCCGACAGTGGGGACTGGACAGGGTGGGCGGCGGGTCGTTTGAGGAGCGGCCGGGTCAAATCGTCTGCTCGGATAACATACTGATATATGGGTCGCCTGAGGCTATGCGCCCGGTCAGCTTACTGGTATGTGGGTCGCTTGAGGCCATGCGCCCGGTCGGCCTGGAGCGGCCGTTTCAACCCGTCTGCCTGGATAAGGCGATGCTGGCGTGGGGGTCACCTGGAGGCTCTTAGCCCGGTCGTCCAACACGCTCTTCCACCTCGAGCAGGTCGGCATTGCCACCTCTGACGAGAAGGGAAAGTGAGCCACGCGCCTTGTTAGACCGAGTAGGTTGGCACTGCCGCCTCCGGTGTTTCTAAAGACCAGTTAGGTTGGCCTCGACACCACTGGCACTCTGCGATGCTGGCGTGGGGGTCGCCTGGAGGCTATTAGCCCGGTCGTCCAACGCGCTTTTCCACCTCGAGTAGGTCGGCATTGCCACCTCCGACAAGAAGGGAAAGTGAGCCACGTGCCTTGTTAGACCGAGTAGGTTGGCTCTGTCGCCTCCGGTGTTTCTAAAGACCAGTTAGGTTGGCTTCGCCACCACTGGCACTCTATGACCGGTTAGGTCGGCATTGCCACCACCGGGGCTATGAGTCCGGTTATACCGGTTGATACCGCTTTTTAGCGATGCCGCTTCTCAGGGATGTATATACCGCCTCTTGGTCATGCCGCTTCTTAGCGACGTATATTCCGCATCTTAGCGATGCCGCATTTTAGCGATGTTGTTTCCGCTTTTAGGCGATGCCACGCGATGTATTTATTCCGCCTCTTAGCGATGCCGCATTTTAGCAATGTTGTTTCCGCTTTTAGGTGATGCCGCGCGATGTATTTATTCCGCCTCTTACCGATGCCGCGTTTCAGCAATGTTGTTTCCGCTTTTAGGCGATGCCGCGCGATGTATTTATCCCGCCTCTTAGCGATGCCGCGTTTTAGAGATGTTGTTTCCGCTTTTCGGCGATGCCGCACGATGTATTTATCCCGCCTCTTAGCGATACCGCGTTTTAGCGATGTTGTTTCCGCTTTTAGGCGATGCCGCGCGATGTATTTATCCCGCTTCTTAGCGATGCCGCTTTTTCAGCGATGTATATACCACCTCTGGGCGATGCCGCGCGATGTATTTATTCCGCCTCTTAGCGATGTCGCGTTTTAGCGATGTTGTTTCCACTTTTAGGCGATGCCGCGCGATGTATTTATCCCGCTTCTTAGCGATGCCACTTTTTCAGCAATGTATATACTGTCTTTGGGCGATGCCGCGTGATGTATTTACCCCGCTTCTTAGCGATGCCGCTTTTCAGCGATGTGTTTACCGCCTTTTGGCGATGCCGCTCTTCAGCGATGTGTTTACCTTCTTTGTGAGATATTTTACCGCTTTTTTAGCGATGTGTATGTACCGCTTGTTAGAGATATCGTTCCCGATCGTCGACGTAGTAGTTGTAGCCTGGTGCACTCGCACCGCGGATCTGGTCGAGGCATTTCCCGACCGTGATGTCGTTTCCCGTTCGGCAACCCGTCGTATCCACTCCATTGTGCTGACGATTCTTGCACCTGTAGGAGTGGGGGCTACACCGGCCGAGTAGCTCATCTGCGTTTTAGTTTGCCCGAGTAGCGCGTTCGTCGGTCAAAACGGTCGAATCGCGTTCATTTCGCCCGTGTAACGTTTCGCCCGGCTAAATCCAATCTCTCGATCGTAAGCAAATCCAACCCCGTAGTTGGTTAGATAGATCTCCAGATCTCGGTCGTGCCCGACAATCCAATCGTTGAACCGGTTGAGCTCGACGTTTCGCAAGTTGCGTTGCAAGTCCGACCACCGGGTCTGGCACTCCCTTTCGGTCCACTAGACTGTGGTTAGAGTTGTACTCTTTTTCCCTTTGCTAAAGTTTTTCCCACTGGGTTTTTTGATTAGCCTAAGATTTTTTAACCAGGCAACCGGCATATGTCACGGACCGTGTAACTAGTTTTTCCAGCCCGAACCCTTCCTCGTTAGCTCGTCGTCATGGCACGGGCTGTGGGAGCTTTATGATAAGTTATATACCCCGGGTCCGTGCCATCGCTTACAGTCGGGTTTGGGTCTCGCGGTTCGGGTCTTGGCCTACGGGTCGGGGTCAAAGGTGACGGGTCAAACCCGAGATGCGTCAAACCCGCCACCTCGGTGGCCCTATAAAAGGGCTTCTAGTCCTCTAAGTGTGGGGATCTTTTCCCATTTGGAGCCATGAGCTCTCTCTCTCTCTCTCTCTCTCTCTCTCTCTCTCTCTCTCTCTCTCTCTCTCTCTCTCTCTCTCTCTCGGCTCCCTCTCCCTTCTCTGTATAATATAGACAAACATACAAATATTCATATGAATAAAAAGACCACTTTCATCTATTTCTTGTGTTCTTCCTTTATGGATTCATATACATATATATTCATTTTGTACATACAACCGACATCCGGGGTGAATTAGTACTATCAATAGTTATGAAGTTATGGATGTGTATTAATGCAATTTTGGATTTATAGTTATGAAATTATGGATGTGTAGTTATGTAATTCTGGATGTATAGTTATGAAATTATGGATGTGATGAAATTATGGATGTGTAGTTATGAAATTATGGATGTGTAGTTATGCAATTCTGATTTTTTTTTTTTAAAGTTAGACGTCAAAACGACGTCGTTTTTACATCCGGATTCACCATGCATGGTGCATACGGATGCACAGCATAACGCTTCGGTTTACACAGTAGTGCACATTGCAAAATAGCACATGGTCTTCTTAGCACGGTTTAAAGCTCATTTCAACTGAGTGTGTTTATTCCGTGCAAGCTCTCGAATAGTGACTACGAGTTTTCATTATCATCAAACAAAAAGTATTTGATTCTAATTTCAGTTATGATATTTTTGATTTGAAAAGGAAAATAATTTTTTTTTAAACAGAAAAAGAAAATACTTGGTAAATAAAATAGTTATAGTCCATGCATGCACCAAAGTTCCTAATTTTCTATACGAAAAGATCTAGATTTTATCTGAATTTTTAGTTCAAGATATTTTTTTGTATAGTAGTAAAATCATCTAATACAATGGAGTAGTTAATATGTGACATAATCCACTTTTTGTAAATATATGATGACACGATTAGACATTATTGGCATCCTACTTAGTGGGACCTTTGAATGGACATAACTACCTAGATTAAAGCCTTAGGGCTTTAATTGGTTCGCTGGAAAATATTTGAAGGGAATTGAAATGGAATTGAAATTTCAAGGAAAATAAATTTCAAGAAAATAAATTTCATTGTTTGGTTTGTGGAAAAGAAATTATTGGGAATATTAATTCCATTGAATTGTTTGGTTGAGTTTGAAATGGTAAGGAATAATGAGTATAAGGACCAATATAATCGTACACAACAATAATAATATAATAATAATAGGAGTAATTAATAAAGAATTGTGAGGGTAAAATTGTCATATTAGTTTTCCATGAAAAACAAAATACCTAGTATGAGCTAGGAATTTGTTTTCCTCATTCTCAAGGAAAACTTTTTCCAATGACAAATGTTTTCCATCCAACCAAACAACATAAAACATCATTTTCCTTCACTTTCAGGAAAACATTTTCTATGGAAAATGTTTTCCATCCAACCAAACACCCCCTAAAGCTTGAAACTTGATTTATTAAAAAAAAAAAAAAGTTTTAGCTTAGCTCTAGTTCAATGGAGCTTTAATTT